CATTGATTACGTATGGTTTTAAAATTGACGATCCTACAGCCTAATATCAATACATTTTGGTCACATCAGGATGCCGGCTTTTTAACGAGCTTCTTTCTGACCGCTAAGTAAAAGTATGTACTATAAAGAGTAGCTACTTAAGTAGTATGCCTTTTTCTCATTGATTTTGACAGCCTTTATAAATTAAAAGATATATTTTATGGAAGACATGCACGAAAAAATTAATTTGTGTCCTCGTTTGGTACTAAAATACGCCTTCTTTAAATTTCATACTTAAAGAAAAATTTATCTTTCGGTTTTAAAAAAGTTTCTAATAATGAGCTTTTTACGATTTTGAGGTATTCATTCATAATACATCACATCCGTCAATTTATTAATGCTGCCTATAATGTATACAGCATGTTCCACATCTGTTGCAACATTTTATGAGAACAGTGTGACTTCTTCCTTAAATCGTAGGCGATATTGTACTTTTCCTTAAATAAGATGTACACAGTGCGCAGTATGTAAACTTTTAATTCAAGTATAGCTGTCAGAATGTTTAAAAATAATTCGGCAATTTAGAAACTTTTTAAAACCGAAAGATACCCCTTCTTTAAGTATAAAATTTAAAGAAGGCGTTATTTGGTACGAAGCGAGTACAAGAAATTATTCTTTCGTTTATGTTTTCCATAAAATATATTTGAATTTATAAAGGCGGTCAAAATCAATGATGAAAATGCATGCTACTTAAGTAGACACTTTTTACAGTACACAATTTTTAGTAACTGTCAAAAAGAAGCTCATTAAAAAGCCGGTATCCTGACGTGTCCAAAATATATTGAGATTAGGCTGTACGGTCGTCATTATTACAACCATACGTAATTGATATGTTCGAATCGAAAACGTATTTCAGAATTCCGGGTGATATTTCATGAGATAGTGAATCTACTGTAAGCCAATCGCGATAAATCCACCTCAGCTACCATCAGAGAATACTGCAGGCGTAGGGACCAGAAAGAGCCGCCGCTGTCTTTAATTGCGCCATGCTGGAGCATGGCATGACAAGGACTGGCGAGCACATGTCCAATTGACCATTCTGTAATATTAAGTAATATAGAACACTTCTTGGATATCCGACAGCCTTCGAGTTTGCCAAAACTCTATCTGTTTTCCTGCAATGTAGAAGAGCGCGCATGCAGTTTCCTTCACTAAAGGGACCTTTGGGTATAAACTTCCCTCAGCAGATCAAAATAACCAAACCAAACGTACACCAAATTATCAACTCGAACTACGATCGCGACTTTGCATACGATAGGCCTATCGTAAGGGGTTGTAGTGTCGACAACAGAAAGATCTCCCAAAATCACAAGTCAGGGAAATGGTGTGGGTGGACAGAGCTTTGAAAATGTACGGTACAAAGGTTGTGTTACGAGCCAGCTGCCAGCCGTGTCTGCACGCCAGGTGTGTCCGTGAAGTTGTGTCTGCTGCTGCGAAGCCCCGAGAGCGGGGTGTGTCCTTAGCCAATTAGGTGGCACAGCGCGCATCAATTGGTTCGAAGTAACGCGCGCCTCAGAAAGCTAGTCGACCGAGAGCG